CAAATAAAAGCAATTCTTCTTTAAACAATTTTTTATTAATCAATGTTTTACAAAAAGCAATATGCTAGAAACAAAATTCACGTTAAAAACAATTGTTTTTAATGTGATTTTTGTTGCTGTACACAAGATGATAAAGATTTAATATTTGGTTCATATTTAGTTAATTTTAACAGTACGCATGCAGAGTTCGACTCATCCGTTATTCAATTCCTATATTTATTTTTTATAAAATTTAATTCTGAAAATAGAGATTTAATTGTCTTTGCTAATATTTTTAAACAATTAAACGTGTCAGGAATTGAATTCCATGTAGTTAGAATTTCATCTTCTGCAATTTTATTTATTTTATCCAATAATCGATTACTTTGAATAATTTCTAAATCATTTCTTAAATCAACAAATTTTTGGTTCCATATGGTACTTGACTGAAATTCAACTAATTCCATTTCTAATTCATTAAAATTTAACCACTCAAGGACTTTTAAATTTAATTTTTCAAATGGTATTGTATCAGGATATAAAATAAATTTTAAAGTTTCTTCAAATTCTTTAAACTGCGTAAATCATGCAGAAAATTACTGAATCAGGGATCGTATTATCATTGAAAACTCTTTCGTTAGTGACTCTTTATTTGGCTTTTCGTGACATTCACTTTCAGAAAACTGCGTAAATCATGCAGAAAATTCCTGAATCAGGGATTGTATTACCATTGAAAACTCTTTCGTTAATGATTCTTTATTTGGCTTTTCGTGACATTCACTTTCAGAAAAAAAATTTTTGTATTCGGCAAATATTTACTTAAATGAATTTGAAAAAATATCACGATTGAAAATTTGTAACTTGAATTCTAACGCTTTGACTAAGTCAAACATTATAATGACTGTTTTATTAACACCTTGTAGTTTTATATTTAATTCATTTAAGTGAGAGCATAAATCAGTGAAAAAATATAACTTTGCTAGCCATTCTACATCCAATAATTGATTGTATTGGTCAATAATGTTCTCATTATTTAGAAATAATCTTATTTCCTCCAAACAATCTACAAATCTTTGCAAAACATTTCCGCGGCTTAACCAGCGTACATTATTGTATGAATATTGTACGAAGAGTTTACTTCGTTTAACAATAGTGCTCGTGCTGATATAAAGTAAATTAATAATTTTTAATTCACTTCTATCAAAAAAGATCTTATAAAAAAAAAAAATTTTGGTTTTTGTGCGTGCCATCAAAATTTTCAAACGTGGTTCGCCATCCCTGATATAGAACATTAAAATTTCAAGAAAATCGGTGTTTTCCCTAAAGTAAGCAAGACAAGACTCCTCGAACGTCGCTACCTACGCAAATACGACAACTACAGGAAACAGGTCCGCCTCCATAGTGCTATCTTTATCAATGCTTAGCATAATTCAGCTTTACAGTTAACAGTTTTTCATGGTATTCAAAATCGTTTTTTACTAAATATTTACTTACCGACCAAATAAAATATTTTCATTACCTAATAAGAAAAATCAAAATTTATTATTGTTTAAGAAATGGTACACTTATTTCTTGAAATTTGTATTAGTCATATCGGGTAACTGTGACGAGGCGTTGTAATCCAAGACATATTTGGTAATGTTGTATGTGAGTCTCCATTTTGGTCATTGGTAATTAATCTGTTTTTATCCGATTAAGGTATTCGTGTAACCATTATTGATTGTAGTTAACCTTCCTGTTTTCCTATTTTCTTTAATTTTAGAGAGTTGTGTTTTCGGATATTTAATTAATTTTGAAAATTTATTTTACGTATTCAGACACGTTGTGTCCTTTCCTTTTCAGTTCTTAAAGATAGGTTTTTTAGGTGAAGATTCTTATTATTTTTGTGATATTATTATAAAAAGTGTAAGCTTCACAAGAATTTTTATGATTTGATTATATTTTCTCACCATACCGTCATAAGAGCCCATGTATAAGAAACAATTTTAACTTTGTAAATTTTTTAAAAACGGGATATTGAAAAATTTTGAAAAGATTACTCCAAAATCTTAGTATTATTACGATCATAATATAAAAATTTCTTATCTTATCTTTTTTCTTAAACGGACTAATCTCCTTAAGCCCCTTAAGTTTTCTAGTTTAGGGTGAGGTTATGAGTACCCAACACTTTTATAAGGTGAACAGTTCTATAAAGTTATAAACATCCTTTTCAAGCTTCCTGGATCATAAATTGGGAAAGGCAACTTGAACATTTCGTATAGTAACTATTGGAAGCTTTTGGACATTCCATTACGAATTTTGGCTGTTGTCCAGTTCCCATACATTACAGGACCTCTTTCTTGTGAACCCCTCTTTTTGAAAGTCCTCTTTATAAAGTAAGAAGACTCAGTCTGGAATCCTCGACAGCATCCCAACTGTAGTAAGATTTTTTGACATAAATTTGATTGTAAGTTAGTAAATTTCTTCCAATTGTTAATCTTATTTTTATGAGACCTTCGAGCTCTCATTCCCAATTACGTAAATCCTAGCTGACTTTTTTTGGTTTTTTACCTTAGCTTTACTTATTGTTTTGAGTAATGTTCAAATAAACGAATAACATCCGGTTGTTTATTTCGTTAAAAGCTGTACATACATACACTCTGCCAACCATTGGGACTGCCCAGCATTTAAGAGGAAACAGGTCACAGCCAATACCCAAAACCGAAGAACGAACCGTACCAGCCACAACCTTCTTACGACTAGAAATATCATAATGGGTTCGCTTGCCCTGATCGAAGTTTTTTTGTGGTATTCTTGAATTAATTGGGGAAATGCTGTGGTAATCATAATCTATGGGTAATCTTTCACTTCTCATCTGTCTTTCTATAGGTAATCTTTCAATTTCTCATCTGTCTTCAATTTGACTATTCCATTTTTTCTGTCCAAACATCACTCTAAGATTCGTAAAAACAGGTTGAGGAGCGTCTTCCGTCTTACTTTTCGGCACAGTTCGGAGGGACTTCTCAACAATTAGCATTAATAGTTGATGGGAATGAAACACTCAATGGAACGATAGCACGGTACCTTTTTAAACCTTATAACTTTCTGACAACCGCACAAGTAAGAATAAAGTACGCTTTGGAACTAATCACTTGAAACCAATACTAGTTTGTAATATTCGACGTAAAACAGTTAATAAAAGACAACTGTGGTAAAACGAGAAACCCAAACGGTAATACATTTCTCGGTATCCCTCAAATTTTGCTATTTTAGGTCTTGGCGTCACGGGCCTAAGTGTAAATCCAGCACTATACATTCACATTTTTAAATAATTCTAAAGCATAGTTAATAATATACTTACCCTTCTTTATCGAAAGTTAATTGCTTTAAGAATTCCTGTACCGAAGCCTTATCAGCTATATGTGCCTGAGCAAATTTCTTTTCTAGATCCTCTGGCCGTAAATGATGTTTAAGAACATTACCTTCCCCTCCAACTACTTCTTGCATGTATTTTCGAGTTCGCATAATTACTTCAGACAGTTGCAACTAAAAGAATATTCTTGTATTAAAACAAAGTATGAAAATGATGAATTAATACAACAATTAGCTTATCGTCTATAACTTAACATACTATGCAATAACGATTTGTTCATGGCAAGAACGGGGCCACAGAACATATAATTTTCTTCTGCTCATAATTGAACACTAAACTAATAATATTATCATTTTGAATCTATTGTCTTACAATTATTATAGTTTTTACAACTACCTTGAATGCATGAATCCATGTAAGTTATATGTAATACAAGAATTTGTATGCGTGTATATGTAAAATGTATAAGGTTAATGGTTACAAAAATCCCCGATGAATGAGCCTGAAAACGAATTTTTAAGTGATCTATGAATGCAGTAATTAAAAAATGAATATTTATTTATATATTTAATTTGTAAAAATGTCTACGATCAGGTAAATAAAAGTAGTAAATTTAGTTTTTGCACGTTCAATCAAAAAACAATTACTATTAATGTACCTACACAAAGAGATCGTCCAAGTCATTGAGAAAACGATTAAGGGGGGGGGGGGTAATTGCACAGAAAAAAGATGACATTTTAAATTTTTGAAAAGAAATAACAGAGAAACAACCAAATAACTACAATGCAACAGATTAATGGTATGTTTATCGAAATATACTCTACAGTCGTATATCATTTATTAGTTCATCATTTTCTTGTAGGTCTGCCTTTATTTTTGATAGTCGATTTAATAAATGACAGTGTACATGAAGTTCGCTGATAGATCCATACCCGTTCCTTTTTTTGTGTGATAGATTTTGCTTTTAATAAATTTTAGTCATACCCTACTATCTACTAATTGGACACAAAAGAAAATTTTACACAATATTAAATTCCGAACTTGTTTTGGAAAGCCCACATTGTCTAATAAATATAAAAAATAATATACAGGGTGTCTCACATTAAAGAAAGCATATGTTTGTGTCATAGCTAAAAAACTGAAGGTGCTAGAAAAAATCTGACTGCGCCCCTGGATTCTACGAAAAAAACTCTACAAGGGTACATTTTAACTCTTTCGGCAGGTTTAAAGCAAATTGAGACATGAAGGGTGGGGTTGTCTTAAAGGTGATACTTTTCAATTCTACTCTGTAACTCAAAAACCCAAAGGAAATCATTCTGCTGGAGCCATTATTAATTTCACAAAAAAGTAGCATGCTGCGCCAAAATCACAACCTTCTATCTTTAAAAATAAGGGAGATACCCCGCACATGTCCCGAAAGTGGGATATTCTGTAGGTACATGCATATAAATAAAATTGAAGTATCTTCCTGTAAAAATGAAATAACTGCTTCTTATAAGTTCATATGGTTATATATAAATAAATCTTTGTCTGTCTGTATGTCCTTCCGGACTAATCTTCGAAACAGCTGAACCGATTTCGATGGGACAGACTCGAAGAGGAGGTAGTGAGGAGTAATCTGGGCTACTTTTTGTCGCCGAAACGGTCTAATGCGATTTCGATGGGACTTTATTTTCACGCGAACATCGAGAGGTAAAAGCTAGTAAAATTTAGTAATGAATAAATAAATTAAAAATTATATGGTACGTGGTACAATATATAAATAAGTAATGAAAATCCTTACCAGCAGCTGTGGTCTACCTAGAGCTGTTAATTTGATTGCTGTTATCCCAGTGCCGTATGTTGCCCCTAAAAAAGATATGTTTTTTGAATAAATTCAAAACAAATAGTACCAAAGAAGTATTTTTATTTACAATGAATAAAAGGAGCTTAGCTCAATATGTTCTAAATCATAAAAGACTACTACTAAATTATAACCACACAAAACAAATACGATAAAAAAGCCTGTAAAAGCCAGAAAGTACCATATGCCACTACAGTTTATTTCTCCTATCTCTATGTACAAAAGAAAGAATTACATAGTGCCATAAACTACAGTCGATTTTAAAAAAGTAAGTGAGAGTGAAATGTTTAAGGTGAAAATAGGTGAACCTTTAGAGAACAAATGCCTTCACATAAAATCTTTCACACTTAAAACTAAAAGAATATAGGAGGTATTCAGGTGTAACGTATGCAGGAAGGATGGAGATTGAAATCTTTATTATATACCTATATGGTATGTCCAGATAAAAAAAAAACGATGCGTTAAATGTATTAAAAATAACAAGTTAAATGTGACTAAGATGTGCCACGTTGTTTACATAATTTTAATTTGGATACAGTTCTTAAGTTCGCTTGAAAGAACTTGCTGAAAACAAAAACTTAAAAACACTGCAACCTGAAGTAGAATAAAGATTCGGGTTATAGGGCCATGGTCTAACCCTCGTTGCACATTACACGTTTTCGCCCGCACGATCAAAAGTCGTACGAGTTTATATCGTGGTGCAGTTGCTTTCACACTGTACGATTTTAAACGTAGGAATCATACGATTTGTAACCGTACAAAAACATTATTCATATACGTATGCTCGTTGTCACCATTTCTGAGGAAAGTATTGTACAGTGACTATGAATCGGGGGCAAATTATAGCTTGGTTATTGTATCTGAAAAGACAAAGGCGTGAGCGNTTGGCCACGTGTTTCACTAAGCGAAGATACGATACGGATACCGTTCATCTGTAGTGGCACTGGACGGCTGCAACGCGATCAAAAATCGTGTCCGTGCCGTAACCGTATAATGTGAAAGACCTCCATACTCTTCATAGGAGACTAAAAATATTTGCCCGTACGATTTATTCCCGCACGGGCGAAAACGTGTAATGTGCAAGGAGGGTAAGTGAACTATTCTGTTCAGACGTTTCATCAGCTACTGCGGCTAACATCCTGAGTGGTAGTGAACGTAGACTATCTCTCGAAGTCTCGACAGCGACTTAGTCTACGTTCACGTTGTCAACACATCATCACATCACTACCACTAAGAATGTCAGCCGCAGTAGCTGACGAAACGTCTGGACAGAATAGTTCAGTTAGACCACGACACTATAGCCCGAATCTTTATTCTACTATGGATTTCGGCCGTGAAAGCATTTGCTCTTATACTGTAACCTGACTGCGAAAAAAGAAAAAGTTTAAAAAATTGTAGCCCGACTAGGGATAAATAAAATAAACGAAAAAGTAATAAAGTTCTGATTGCCATCATCGCCTTGCCGAGTAAGACAAGCCTTTTAATATTTCAAATATTCCTGTTTATTTAGTTCTACTGAAGCCTTTTCGTAGTTTCACATAAATAACGTTATAATTCAATTCAAATATGGTGGTCGTAAGTTGTCACGGAAATTCAGTCAGTTAAGGATAAAAACTTCACAAGATCACAGCATTTAAATTGAATTATAAAGAAGACTTCAGCCAAACTAAATAAACAATAAGAACCCAACCTCTTTTATTTTATTTTTTTTCGTTATTACAACTTTGTTTCATTCTTAATCTAAAAAGTAGATGTTTGATATTGTACTAGCTAACACAAAGCAATGAGTCTATACATCTGTTTCTCAGAAATATAAGTCAAAGCAATTCTAAACTATAAACAATAATATCTAATGAAAAGAAACCGAAACATGAAACACAAGTGGTGAGAACTGCCGATAGACAGCGCTAGGAGTATTCACAAACCCTGAAATTTAGTAAATTGGAAATAGGAAATTGTAAAATGAGGAGCTCCTTGGCTATACCTGAGGAGCTCTCGGGAGCCAAAAGAGCCGAGTTTGCCCGGCTCTGGCCTATATCACCCGGACTATAATAACGAATCGATTAACACCTCATTCATTAAAATCGGCTCACAAACAGTAGTTTAGTTTTTACGGTGGAACATACGTAAAAACAAACATACATACAACAATAAAATAATCAGAACCGATCAGGGGAAAAATTATTAATTATTATAAAGCAGCACCCACGTTTCGCTCTAATTGATCCTTTTTCAAGGCTGCAATACATAGTGACGGTGTTAAGAATATTACATAAGGCCTAATTAATGTGAACTTACCTCTACTAGATTTTCTTACGTCACAATGTATTGCTTACAAACCGTCGAGGTGAGTGGTACATGAGTCCTCAAAAAACTTTATTACAAAACACACATGTATAAATGAAATAATAAATATTAAAAGCGTGTATAAATAAAATTAAAAATAACCTACAATAACGTTCATGAATTAGCCTATATTTGCGTGACGGGAAAATGGAAACAAGTTCTGATAAAATTACATTAAACCATTTTCGAACAAGTGGAGCAGTTTCAGACAGGCAGTATAGGATACATAAGGACACAGTCCGAAAGAGCTCCACAGATGATATTAGTTTGATCAATGATTATTAGCTTTAGCAATTAATAAACAAAACAAAACACCGCATCAATAAAAATCGGCTCTCAAATAACGGAATTATTTCAAACATCAGAAGGACTGAGACAAGGATGTTGTCTCTCGCCTACATTGTTCAAGATTTATTTAGATTAATTCCTAAAGGGATGGAAATAAAATGTAATACTATGGGACTTCAGATAGGTGAGAACAGACTACATTCGCTATATTTTGCCGATGATCAGGTAGTGATAGCTGAAGATGAGCAAGATCTAAATTATATGGTTAGAAAATTACACGAGGAATATATTCGAGGAGGATTGAAAAACTTTGACAAATGTGAATATCTAACAGTAGGAAATAACACGTGCAATACATTACAATTAGAGAAGGAAGAAATAAAAGGTGTAGAGAAATGTAAATACATGGGGGTATTATTCATAAAACAGGTCATGATGAAATACTAGAAAGGATACGTAAAGGGAGACAAGCCATTGGAGCACTAAATTCGATATTATGGACAAAAAAACATAAGGAAACAGACAAAAAGAGAATATACAATGCAATAATAAAGAGCGTGATTACATACGGGTCGGTAAGTTTGGATATATGCAAAAGCAACAGAAGAAAATTACATGCGACAGAAATGGATTTCCTACGGAGTTGTAGAGGATCAAGACTCGAAAGGATCTCAAAATTGAAGTTATTAGAAGGGACATGGACGTTGACAACGATATTATAGACGAAGTAGAAAAGAAACAATTGAAATGGTTTGGACATACAAAAAGAATGGGAAAAGAAAGATGGCCAAAAAGAGTTTTATAATGGATACCGCAGGAAAGAAGGATGAGGGGAAGACCTAGAAGAAGCTGGAGGGACGATATCAACGAAGCAATGGAAAACAGGAATCTAGAGGATGTGCTATGATAGAAAAATTTGGAAACTGGGCACGGAGAAGCGGCGACCCCCGTATAAATCCGTATATACATACAGCAATTAATTAACTTCATATGACGTGACATATTAATAATTCGCATTATGCCATGTTTGGTTAAGAGTGTTAAGAGTCTTCCGTGCTCTACCTCAAAAGCGGTTTAGCGTATCAAAAAATATTTGGAATAAAGTTTGTAGAGAATTTTATGCTCTGTAATCTTCATTATAAATGCAAATGTCATTGAAACCATAGGAAGTAAAATATTAGCAAAAAATCGATTTTAGTGACCTTTGACCTTAACGCGGACATGAGATTTTATGTGACTTTTGACACAACATTTAGAATGCCGAAATAAAAGTTTATATAAGTTAACAGCATATTATCTCTCATTCCGAGGTGAAACACCTAATATGATTGGACTAATATTTGTCTTTTGATTATATTAAAAACATATTCTAAAAATATCTGATTACCTTATTGGGATCTGACAAATGGAGGTATGACCTCTAGCGGCCAAAATAGAAAATAATTTCAGGTTATATTATTGTAAAGCATCGTAATGAATTACTGAATATAAATATACATACAATGTAGAAATCTTCCCGAAGTGAGTTTGTTTTAATATGAAATATTCTCAATTTTTACCCACTACACATTACCTCAATGAATTACATTTCTGAAGATATAATTATAAACAAATAATAAAAAATTTGGTAATCATGGAATCTGATAAGTATTTACTTCAATCGAAAAGTGCGACAAGAGTAAAATGTTGTGTGAAAAATTGCCAGTCGTTCAAATAAGAATACAGATTTAAGTTTACATAATTTTCCTCGAGCAGGCAAATATCACTTAAAGTTAAAAAATCTTGACAGCGTGGCAGAACGCATTACAAATAGAAAATGTAAGCCCAAGTAAAAAAGTACGCTCACTTCATTTTAAACGAAGTGATTATGTCTTATGTCTTATTAAGTAGGTACAATGTTTATGATGTTATTATTCAACTAATAAGCTTGAACCTAAAAAAATTACCGTATTTTGATTCAAGAATATATCAAGAGATATTTAATTATCTTTATCTATTCATGTCATGTTTGTTTTTGTCAAAGATTGTCCAGATATTGACATAAAACTAAAAAAATAGAAAAAGAATGCACTATTGCAACTGTTTTTGAAACTTTCCCATCGATTTGATGAGGATTTTCTCTTAAATTAGTTGTTTGCACACACTCATCACTGTTAACTACATTTTTACTACATTTGATTGCATGGCCTGCTTTTAAAACTACAAATTTCATTAATTGTAATCATTTGTTCATTTAATAATTGCACAAATGGTTATATCACAATGTTAATTTTTAAATTTTTTAAACTGGTATCTGCAACTTGACACTTTGTTTAATAGTGTGATTGCTATTCATGTTTTATCGGTTCTCTTCAGTCCCTTGTTATCAAAAGGTTCTTCGGACGCTTAATCGTGTTTTCTTCCAAATTCGACGACTACGACTAGGTAGTTGCGACTGATACGCAGATGTAGTACCTATGTTACTTAACAACCAGGTAAAGAGGAATATCTGCTCATTTTCTATAAAAGCACCAAGCACCAAGCTTGGAATGGAAGCACCCTATACACCCACCCATATCACACACTTTGACCCAAATGTCATAATACAAATTCCCCAGCGACTGCCGAATACGCTACTCCCCGACGTATTTTGGTATTAGGTTTGAGTTATTTAGTGTTCTACAACACCGTTAAAGTTTTCCGGTCTTCTAGATTAATCAATACAAATTTAAACACCGTTCGGAAAATGTGTACTAAGTGAATAAAGTATTTTATGTTCATGTATGAATTTACCAATGAACTCCATGGATTCTAATAAAATAATTTGAAGTGGTCTGTATTCTGTCGAAACTGCCTCCATGGATTCTGCCAAAGCGCAAAAAGGCTTTAATAACTCTCCTAGTTCACTGGATAAAAAAATCATAAGAAATATAAAACTACCCTAACGTTTCGTTTTAATGAATGTACAGTATCTAGTTACGTGGGTTCCTACGTATTATTTGAATAGCTTCATAAAGAGAAAAGAAAAATATAAACTCTAATATTATGCACATGCCTACTTACATTTAAAACATACTGTTTATTCTATTACTTCATAATTCTTAAAATGTGTACCTAGTTTATTATATTGCCATACATATGGTATGTATAACACACGTGCATTTATTTATCTACATTTTAAACTACGACAATATAAAAAAAAAAACAACTACCAACTAACTACGTGTCAAAAAACTAAATTGAAAACTACAAGGAAGGAGAACAACAAAATAGTAGAAGCGTAGAGAAGTTCAGGAAATAAAATGTTTCTGTAACACTTAATACTCAAACTTACTATCTCTTTCTGCCTTTTTTTTGCCATGCCTATCATAATCTGAAAAAGAGTATGTCCAATGTCAATTAGTATTGTTAGGAAATCCAAGCTGGTTACAAAAAAGACTGCAAAAAAGTAAAGTGTAAAAGAATTTCGTAAGTTCCTACAACGGATATGTAAAATGTAAGTATAACTGGTTGCAAAAAAGTTATTGCCTTACGTATAATTACTATTATCTATGCTTTATAAAACGAATTAAATTGTGAAATAATACAATGTTTAATTTAAAGAACTTAATTTGGCTAAAACTTTTTTGCATAAGATTATACAAAATATAAATATAAATGCAAATGAAATATTTGAGGAATTAGTGAATAAAAGAAAATAAATTTAAGCTAAACGCTAAACACAAAAAGCAGATTAAATACATAACTTCTATAACACATTGCTGATTTTAAAATTCATTTGCCTGAAAAAGAAAACAGTAATACTACTACATTTTCACGACATGATGTAAGAATTAAACTGTTTATTAGTTTTGAGAAGACCGAAATTGTAATATTTAAACAATTGATTAGGTATTAGGTGCATACTTTAAATACCTATTGAACGTTAGAAAATGGTGAAACACACATTTAATGTTTCTTCTCCATCGTTTAACCTTAATTATATAAATGTACAAAAAAAAGCTTATTCGTTTTGGACAGTTAAAAAATAATCAACTATTAACAATTTGTAAATTCATATTAACATTTTAACAAACTTGAAATTTTAGGAACAGAATTTTGCATTTCAGTCTTAAAAAGAAATATTAATTGTTTACGAAGTGTGGTCAAGTCATATTAATAAGCCATGTGACCTTCATGATACTATAGCGATTAGCGAGTGCAATTATGCATTTTGTCCACACAAACTGACCTTTGGTGGTGAGCTTCGAAATGGGTAAGTTCAATTTGTTAATTGTTTAATATATTATTTGTGCATCATTTCAGATTAATAATGTTGCTTACACTTCGCACTCTCCCTAACAATTGGTGATTTAATTTCGAAACTAATTCTGTAGAATTGCGCTTCTAGCTTCATTTCAATCGAATACATGATTTACTAATTTGTAATTTGGGTAATTTGTACTTAACATATTTAATCTCGAAAACATTAGAAATTGATTTCAGAAGGTGAAATATATCCTGTCATAACACTGTACGTGTAAGATAAAGATAGCAGCATTATTATATACTTGAAAGACCTAAAAATCTCAATTTACATATATCTATTAGTATATGTCCAATTTAATCGTTTAAACTAAACAACGTTGAATTACACTAATGTACCCAATCATTTACTCAGCCAGGACATTCTTATAACTTTTATATCTTTAGGAGGAATACTTGGAAAATAAGTTTCTCGCATTGTCTGTTTAAAATAATTAAACAAGAATATATGTAAATTATTCCACTACTCATTTGAAAATTTTGAATTTGTGTATGTTGTCGCATTTTATACGTGTGACGATCACGATCATCTGAAACCTTCTTAGTAAATTTAATTGCTGCAATTGTATTCACCGATCGATATTCATGTAAGGAAACGTACCCATATTATGTGCCCCTTTTTTTTACAATGTTTACCCCCCCCCCGGTAACAACCCGTAGTATATGTCAAGATCCTCCTTCCCCTGTAGTTTTTACGTAGTAATTTTTTGCTAACAGAAAGTTTTGAGTATAGCTAGAAAAAATGCAAGATTTCCCTTTCCCTTTCACCCGCCCGGTGACCAAGCGTGACATTTTTTTAAGACCCCCTTCCGCCCCAAAGTGCTAGCCATTCAGACTAAATTTAAATTGCTGAAAAAAATGATGGAGTAGCTTTGATATTATCTATATACAATATTTATATTTAATAATATGTTAAGGAAGCTTAAATAAAGTAAAGCATTGTAAAGTCAATTAAACAAATTACAGTAGAACTTCTCTAGACGTTGAATGGGTCACAAAAGAAACAAATACAGGAAAATGTATTAAACGGATAAAAAAACACGCAAAATAAGGTACTCGATTGTGTAATCACGTTCAACATGTTTTTAACTGAAATTTGCGTTAATTTGTCAAGATTTCTCAACTTCAGTTTCTTTTTATTGACTTCAAACAATCCACCTTTCGGAAATTGTTTTAAATGTGATTATAATAAGCATATTTACCTACTATGTTATCATCAAAACAATCAAATTATTTAACTTGATATATAAATATTTTATCTAGAAGGTAAATGACAAACCTGCAACTGCCTCCAAACACTGAATAAATGTTTCCATATTCCTTTCACATGTCGCTTCATTCATATAAAAGTAGGTTCGAGCACTTGATACTAGATAACGTCTATCAGCGAATGTTTTTGCCACATGGTATTGTTTTAGTGATCCTGGTTCCATTAAATCGCCTGACATTGGCACCGAAGCTCTAAATAAAACACACTTTATTAAAATTTATGCTGCCAAACATCTTATCCTTATAGCGATAACAACCATTTTTCAAACTAAAAATGGATCATCAAATAAATTATAAACACATCGAGTATCAAAACTAGATCAAAATTCCATTTCGATAGAGCATTGGGCATTCATTGTACTTTTAGATAAAAAAGTACTCCAAACTAGTTCAATTCATTTACGTAGTAAAATAAGACAATACGGTGTTCAAGAAGAGAACACAAAAAGTGTCACTTCTTGATAGGATTGATCAAATGTTGAATAGTACTATTAGCTTATCCCACTTAGTAATAGAATATACCCTATATTTATTATTACAGGACCTGTATCAATCAGGATTCACTTCACCAATATAGAATTGGCACTTGAAGGAATCACTCACATACTTGTTGAAGCGATTTATTAACATTATGTGTGATTATATAAAGCACTAACAATACTACTGGCTATTTTAACTAAATAATGATAAAAAGTGCATTTTAAGATGCGTTAGTAATCATAAGGTAGTTAGTCTTAAGACTGGTTGGACACGCATCTCCACTTTTTCCTATTCTGAGCTAATCTTCGCATTTCCCTAAAACTAGAACAACCCATATCCTTAACTATTTGCGAACAGTAATTTAATCTAGGTCTTCCACTACCCCTCCTAACTTCCGATTTTGCTATTTCTTTTTAACCTATCTCGTCTATTTCTTATTGACCTCTGTTCTCTTGCTCTTTCTAATCTCTTTCTTCATTTCTAACCTTCTTTATCTACGGTATTCTGTACACTGCCGTGCTCCAAGCATACACATTTAATAACCTTTTTCGAATTTCTAAATTAACCGTTGACTTCTTTTTATTGAAGGTGAATCGATCCTGCGCTATCCTCTGCTTTATATCCCTACTTCTCCTTCCGTCCTGACTTATCTGACTTCCTATATACCTAAAATCGACCACTTCTTCTAATTTTTCGTTTCCTATCTTTATATTCGCTCTTTTCTTACTTTTCTTTTGCATACCAGTATTTTTATTTTACTTTTATTTATTTTCATACAGTACTGTTTTGTCAATACCGCTTCCATTTTATTTAAAGCTATCTCTAACTCATCCTTGTGAGATGTTAATACTGCTAAATCATCTGCAAATCTAACCATACTAATCTTTTGCCCCTCCATATCTATCCCTAGAGTTGTACTGTCTTTAACGATGTTGATCCCTTTTTCGATGTATAGATTAAAAACTATGCTATGTAAAAAAAAAAACAAAAACAGAAGACACTGCGTTCTTCTATGTACTGATATACTTTGCCGTTAAAATAATATATTGGATTGTTCGGAGTCATTTCGTTTTTTTTTGTGGAAATGAAAGACAGTTTTCGTATAATAAACAAATACTTTATTAAATTATATATTGACCGTTCTGGTCCAACACCTTTTGCCATCTTTCTGGTAGTAGCATAATTCCACGCTCATAAAATTTTTGGTCTTT